GAATACTTGTAAATATTGCACTCATCATTGTGTGTGAATTATATGTTGAAATTAAATATTCTTTTCCAAGTTATCGTCACTATTGAGGTCATGAGACAGAGACATTTTATAATACATCATTTGCTGCTGTGTCAAGCTTGACACATAAATCTGGTGGCATCCCAGCATCTATATGTAACCAGTAATCTCTAGATACTGGGGAAAAAAGCAGCTTTGGGTTTTCCCCTTTTTACCTGTAGCGCATTGTAAAATCAGTGTTGTAGGACTGACAGTTACCTTCTTCCTCCTATTGTCTCCTATCAGCATATCAGAGTTCGCCTGTCACATCTCTGGCTGCAGCGCTGTCTTCAGTGCTCTGGAGGAGTACGAGCACCACTACAACTCCCTGCACAGACACGTTTGCTGCTCCTGCCGTCGCTCGCTGCCAAGTGCCCGACTCCTTGACATTCACATTCAGGAGTGGCATGACTCTCTCTTCACTGTCCTCGCCCAGAGGCAAGACATGGTGAGAGCCAAAGGATTTTATTTTATTTTATTGTTTCATACTCATCCATCGCGAAGGCGAAACCTTTAAGGATCATTTTTCTATCACACTTCCTTCACAATATTCAGTACCAGTGTTTGGTCGAGGGCTGTGGACACAAGTTCAGGACGAGTAAACACAGGAAGGACCATCTGATAAGAATTCACAAGTATCCTCCAGACTTCAGATTTGACAAAACCAAAAAGGACAGAGGGTAAGACTGCACCATTCACATTTTTGTCCACTAGATGGCAGCAAAATGTTAGTAGAAATGTTAATCGCAAAGTTTTGGGCCCGTGTTTGTTACAGGAAACAGGACTTATTTCTCTGAATTTAATAGTTTTGACATATTTCATGCATTTTTTTAACATAAAGTGAGATTTGCTGATGCTTTACGTTTCTTTTAAAAAGTCAACTCCACTGCAATTTGTTCAAAATTCACATTTCTTTATAATTTTTCAAACCAAACCGAGTAAAATGTCTTAAATGAGCTAAATTATCATATTTTATACTGTAGTATGTATTTTTCAACATCATATCTGTCTTAAAAGAACCAGAGAGATGAAGAGGCGGCCGCAGAAAGACATCGCCATGGAGTCAGTGGACGATGTGTGTGAGTCCGAGGGTGTGTGCGAGGTTATGTGTGATGTGTTGTCTGAGCAGCCTGAGCCTGGAGAGTCCATGGAGACACTTGTGGAGGAAGCAGCTGCTCACATGACAAAGACTGCTGCTGCCGGGGAGGACCCAGATCTCTCTGCTGCAGTACACAGCAAAGAGTGTCCGAACACAGAGACACTGAAACCACAATACTCCTACAGGTTAGTTTTGCAGGGAAGCACTGTCCTAAGTCAGACATGTTTGAGATGCTTTTAGGTTAAGTGTGAATTCAGGGAGAATTGAAGATGAGAAGTCAGTGGTCTTAAGGGGAAATGTTGAGGAGTTATGACATGTGTAATGACATATGAGTTAGAATAATATTTATTACAGCTTTTCATCTAATCCATAAGAAATCTGAGATATAAATCAAATGTATTTTTATTCTCTTTTCTCAGAGTCCCTTCAACTGTGTGCTTTGGTCACGGCTCCATCCGAGGCTTTAGAGGTCGGCGTGGGAGGAGGAAATGAAACGCCAGAACTGCGCCTTCTGTTTGATGTTCCTTTTTAAGATGATTAACTCAATACCCCTGTCTATAGAATGTATCCATGTGTCGTTAATGTATAGTAAAATGGCCTTTGCAAAAACTTTATTATAAAACTAAAGGAATTGACACCACATTGAATCCTGTTGTGTGTTACAAGGCAGAGTTAGACTGTACTGAGCTTAAATCACAAATGAGAAGGAAAATGTGAAGAGAAACAAATGAGATGAAATGACCAAATTTACATAAGAGATTTTAATAATTGTACAAAACACCTTTCACCCATCAAATATAAAATATCCTGTACATTAACGACTGATGTATTTCTGATTTATCTACATTTTGTAATGAAACCTACTGTGGTCTTGGACATTTAAGAGCTCTTTAAACATGTGCAATAAAAAGTTCTTTTTGAGGTAATGTAAGAAAAACCCATAAGATTTATTTAAATTGAAATTGTATTTTTATGGATAATAATATATATTTGTTTCTGTGGGGAAGTTTGAGATCATCATTTTATTTTTAATTCTGAATGTGGATATTTTAAACCTGAAGAACTATTTCGCAAAAACATTCACATGGTCACTTTAGTGAGTGGTCACTTTAGTGAGTCGTCACTAGTTATTGCTTAAAACCTAAAAAAAAAGCACAAAATGACCATGTCACAAATAATTTACTGCAGTTTGAATTTTAAATACTTCATAGAACAATTTGAGAAAATTATGAAAAGGCAGAACTGCTTCTTTCATTGACCTTCTGAAAAAGAAGCCAGCTTGTTTTACCAACATTTTTGCGTGAAAAATATTCCTCTCACCCATTTGATTTTTCATTGTAACAAAAAATATTTTACAAAAGTTTTCAGTCATCTTTTACTTCTTTTGCAGTTTGTTATTTGCTGTATGGAGGACTTTGTTTTTAAGGCAGATCTCCCAACGATGCAGCTCAGAGTTAGTGGGGGTTAAGACAAGTAGTACATCCCATACGGTCCACTGAATAGTCCCGGGACGGGCAGGGCGGGCCTGGGTCCGCTCAGGGCCGCGTAGAGGGACGGTGCGCCCATGGGTGCGGCGCTCAGGGGGAAAGGGAACGCGAAGGCCGGCAGCAGCGGCTTCGCGGCCAGCTTGAACTTCTCCAGCTCGGCCTCCTGGAGTCTCTTGGCCTTGGCCCTGCGGTTCTGAAACCAGATCTTGACCTGGGTCTCTGTGAGGCTGAGGGAGCCGGAGAACTCCGCTCTCTCTGCGATGGACAAGTACTGTTTCTGACGGAACTTCCTCTCCAGAGACAGCAGCTGCGAGGTGGTGAAGGGAGTCCTGGGTTTTCTGTTGTTCTTGTGTTTCCGCAGGTTGCAGGAGGTCGGGCTGGGGAGTCCTGGAAGCAGAAAGTCACATCAGTGGAGGAGAAAAGCTGTGATCCACATTTATAGTGAATCAAATTAAAATCAGACAAATGTCAAACACAGAATGGGCCTAAGGCACTTGGGTTAAAGGCCTGAGCAGTTTTCTGCAACTTGGAGCCTCTCAAAGTTTAAAGAACTATCTCGATCATCTCTAGATTTCTTGAGAGACGTGATCATTATTTTCTATTATAGAATTAGATGTTTTTGCAATTAACTATTCACAACCAAAACCTGATATTTCCAGAATAATTTTGTACAGATGGAAAGTTGAAACTTGCGCAATTTTGTAGTTAATAAAAAAGAAATATAGTTGCTTCACTCACTTGGAGGGGATGCGTAAGTGCTCTGAAACCAGGGCCCCGTGTCCTTGTCACCGGGCTCCACCGCCTCTGCTTTGGACCGGTGAAGTCCCCTCGGTGACGCACACTCGGTCTCCTCCGCCGGGACGCAGCCTGAACCTGCAGGCGCGGGGGAGTGGTGGTCCCGGCCGGGCGGCCTGTCTGACATGAGGGACTCCACACTGAAGGGCAGCTCTAAACTTTTGCTTTTACATCGTCTGACAGGCGACATGTCCAGCTCGTCGGTTCCCACGCCGCCAGCGGCTCGCTCCTCCGGTGCGGTGTCCCTCGGAGGCACAGCTGAGCGCGGTGATCCTTGCGCAGGATTCATTACGCACGACTGCGGTGCCATACAACCAGTTTATTCCGCCGTGCGCGACTCGCTGCCGCTGTTGTCTCTATGTGTTGTCGCCTTGAGGAGAATCTGTGAAACCGCCGAGGCTCATCTGACGTCGTGGAGCTGCGTGTAAACTTCAGATATTTGACGCACGGACCTGACTCACCGTCCCTGAAGTGCCACACATGTGCCTTTCATCTCACCGCGCGCCAATCAGTCTGTGGATGTTTCCAACCGACCGGAGCGGAACAGTCTGTGATTGGTCAGGCCGGTCGTGACAGAGCAGTGCCGTTCTTGACAGATGAAAACCTCCGATCACAGGCTGAGCTCGGGATTCCCAAGGTGAAGGAAATCAGTTTACTGTGTGCAAACTCACATTTAAAAAACATTTATGTTATTGTTTAAAATTAGTTGCCTGAAACATTTGGTATTGATCATATTCATAAGATTCACAATATTGGGCTACATTTCTCTCTCTCTCTCTCTCTCACACACACACACACACACACACACACCTTTGTACTTCTATCTTAGTGAGGACACTCATTGACTTATTACATTCCCTAGCCCCTACCCTAACCTTAACCATCCAAACTAAATGCCTAACCTAAACCTAAACCTAACTCTAACCCTCAAACCAAGTCTTAACCTTCAAACAGTCCATTGAAAAAGTGAGGAACATTCAAAAGGAACACACACACACTTTTTAATGAATGGAAATTTAGTTCTGGGCTAATGTGGACCATGTGTCACCATAATCTTCTTCTTACCTAAATTGGCCGATTTTACAAAGTTTAGAGCTGCACTGATTAGTGCGAGAGCCAAAAGAAAATGAATGAATGACTAATGTTTTTTATTGTTTTGTGCTCAACCTCTCATGAGGTAAAAGCTGAAATATTTTGGAGACATAAAATTTCAAGGATAATTTTTTTTATGTTGCTTCCTTCACACTGTTCAATTCCAGTGTCTGGCTGAGGGCTGAGGAAAGAAGATTCACTCTCATCATCCTTGCAGCAACAGGAAGCTGCAGCTTTACTCACTCAAATGGACTTTACTCACAAAGAGATCTAAAACCGAGACTAAAGAAGACTAAATATTGGACATCAATTTATCAGACAGACACACACATGACTCCAGATTAATAATAATGTGGATTCATGTCTCCTCTCCGTGCACAAATAGGTAGTTCTCCAACATATTTTACCTTTAAGACGATCATACTAGATGTCAATGTTGTGTTTATGCATAGTTCTGTTACACTCCAAGACACCAAACTATTTAACACAAGCAGGTTCAACAATGTGAGTACAATACAAAAGTACTCTTGTGTAATTTTTTTTCATTATGTTGCAAAAATGACAGTGCAGTTTTTCTTGTTCTTAGAAATATGTCCACAGTCGTTTATCACTGTGTTTCATTAACGTAGGAAAACAATCCTGGCTTCCACTGCTTTTATTCTCTTAAGAGTTATTATCGCTGTAAATTTCTCTATCATGTGGCCTGTAATCAAATTATCCGTGGCTGTGTATTGGCCACATTTCAGCCTATTGTGTCCATTGTGTGCAATCCCCTTGAGAGACAGTAAAACCCAGAGTAATGTCGCAGAAGCCCTTTGAAGGGGGCCCGTCCAAATTGGCCTTGTTTTGCAGCTCTTCACATCCAGTCAAATCATTGTCAATGAAAGGCAATATGTGAAGAGTTTGTCTTATCAGAACTAATCCAGGACTCGTCTGTCTGTCCGTCTGTCTGCAGGACAATTGGTTAAATGGAGTTAACCGTTTCTCTCCCCGAGGTACATTTCTGCTTTGATCCCGCTGCGCCTGGCGCCTGTCTGCTCTGCTCTCCCCTCCCTCGGCTCTGTGTGACAGTGATAGATTGCTGGGTAACTATACAAGCTTTCAATGACTGTAATTTAGTGCCCAACAACATCACATTCTCCTCTACTTACTCTCTATTACCACTCTCACTCTCCTCCTGTTTGGAAAGGGATGTAGGGGCTGTGTGTAATGTTTTGGTTGCTCCTCCATTGTTTTATAATGAATGAGTAAATCATATTTCCTGCCTCTGGAGTAACACAGACATTCCAGACAAATCAACTACTGCCGTCTTTTGGTTTGAGAAATGAAAATCTACTTATTTAGTACACTGTGGCACTTTAGTAATAACATTTATACAAATGACATTAATTATCTGTATCTAATGCTGGACAGTAAATTTCACCACAACCCAAGATGTCCACTTGTTGTTGGGACAAGAGGAAAAGTCATTTGGTCATTTAAAGACCTAATGTGTGGCAATTGTTCATTGAATTGTCTAAAACAACACAATGTTAAATATGTTGTTGACTTGTGAACCCACATTATCCAAAATGTTTCCAGCAATGTTCAAACCCAGAGAAATACACAATTTTAGTCAAGGTAATGATTTAATTTTGGCCGAACCTCAGAAACCATGTTTAGGTTCCACTGGCCCTCACAAGGTCAATGTTCATACTAGAAAAGTTCCTCAAGAGGAAACAAAAATGAGTACACACTACACACACACACACTACACACACCTCTCCTTGCCAGAGTGGAGGATTGTTTAAGGAGGTAATTGTGGTTTCCAGAGGAGTTTTCCCTTCAAACAAACATGTTGAAACAAGCTTCATATATTTCATTTTTTAAATTATTCTCTTTAATGAGAGTTGGCAGGGCATCCAGCCCTCCTAAGCATACTTTGCGGAAGGAGCTGGAGTCATGTGGGATAAACATTTATGAAGCACACAGCGGGGAACTTTGTGGTGAAAGTGTATCATCTTTAAAAGAGATGAGAGGCCTGCCTGGTGAAGCATAACATAACATAACATTATCCTGTGTCTGAGCGGACCTGCCAACATCAGTACGTCAAACTATAGATGGATGTCAGATCACAAGCTTTTCTTTCCATGCTGACATTTACACTAAATGACACTCCATATAAATTATCTTCATCTTTACAGACAGAATGAAGCATTGACTGACCTGCACACAAGTCTCACATTTAACTTGTGGTCCATTTGATGCAGCAGGAGTAAGCATTACTGGTGTATAGTGTCTAAATTTAAATGTCATTAGTTTCCACTCACAACTCAAATCTCAATCTTAGATATTCCAGAATTCATTACGACTTAAATGTCTGAAATAAAACATACCATGTCGTTTTAATGGAATATTATGTTTTGAAAGGAAATAAACTGCACCTCATTGTATTCACAATCCAAATCTGCTTTCAGACATACACTGAATTTATACGTTGTGTTCTGCCTCTTGCATGCATTCTGTTGTTGTGAACACACCTGACTCAGGGAATCTCCTGCTGCGTTGTTCATACATGAAAGACAAACTCCACAAAATGTTTGGATTCAATTTTAGGGACATTTTCCAGAATTCATGTGAGTTCGGGTCACGTGACTTGGTCCATAAATTTGATCTGTTTTACTTTTCAGTACCTAACTTTCTCAATGAATTGACCTCACATGACGCACAAACACATTGTCATGTGTCACGCAGCAGATTTAAGGGAATCAGCTAAAGTTAATTCTACCAAAACATCCTTAATAAACAGGGATCAGTGACTTTCACCAGTTCCAGAACCCACACTGTAAATTGGATTGACACAAGCTTTTCATTAATTACTGAAATAATAAAGTCGAGTACTCACTTGGCTCCATAGCTCCGTTTCACTCAGGCCCGGTCATGCCAGTCATGCCAAAGAGGATGTGAGGCCCCAGGTCTTTCCCAGTAATGTTTTCTCCTTATCTGATGGAAGCTCGGAGGGAACTGCAACAACACGTTAGTCTTAATTAGTTGTTTCATCTTTACACCGTCAGCACCGTGTGTCATGTGAGCCGCTGTCAGGTCTAACATGTTTACCTAAACTGTGAAAAAGGTGGTTACCGATATGACCTGAGGACTGCTGGAAGTTGCTAAACAAAATCTGGGTCACAGAGTAATACATTACAGGTTACTTCACAAAGATTGAAGACAGGCTGCTTAAATCATCAGTATGCTTCAGTCAAATTTCTTGTCGGATGGTCGAACAGTGTCTGAAACCACCTGCAACCACATCTTTCTGATATTGTAAAAGTGCTGTGTTCACACATATATAATATAATGCTGAAAATGTTCAAAAAGTACAGACATACAAACTGCAGTAATTTCACCAACTTTTAAATCTAAATAACATATTTATCATCAATAAAAATGATAAAATATATTATCGCCTAAGATTCAGGACAAAAACTTCAGTCTAATAAAACACACGCAATTTGGTGACAGCACATGCTAGAAGTTTGTATCTATTTCCAGAACAACAGTAGTTCATGATGTTACAGAACCAACCAGTTTATGCTGCCATTCCTATATAAACAGTTATTGTGACATTCCCCCCAACAGTGCAAACAGACCAAAAAGATCTTCTTAAGTGAAGATATCTAATTCATAAATGCTGAAGTCAGATCCCAGATTTTAGGCTGTTTAACTCAAAATACAAATTTTCCACCAGCATGAGCTGAGGATCTGTGTTTTCTTGTTGTAATAAAAGTCTCGCGGTAACTTCCTCTTGACACTCGATGGACTCAAATATCAGATGATGCTTGAAACCTTTGTAATCACCTGATGGGTTGTTGATCGGTTAAGTGCTTTTCATTTATCCTTTATATGTTAGCATGACTCAGCTGCCGTGGGGAAAGTGTTGACAGGCAAGCAGCGGGCAGGTTATTATGCCTCTGTGTGTTTTGTGTGTTAGGATATTGGGTTTGGTGACAGGAAGGCGCGTTCCACATGGCGTCTGACAGAGACCGGCAGAGTGTTCGGCTGCCGGGGGCCTCGGCAGCGAGGCTTACCCGCAGCGCCAGGTGCTAACAGGTGAACTCAGAGATATTGTAGCCCTATTGTTGCGGCCTGGGAGGGACGAAGGGGGGGGTGAGGGGAACCGGACACCTTCTCTGGACCCGGAGCAAGCCAGGGGTTAGGGTGAGCTCAGTGAGTGTGCTGACAGCAGAGAGAGGAACTCAGATGGACTGCACTCAGTGATGATAATGACGATGATGACGTTGGAGAATGACCCACTAACACAGACAAGGGACGTCAAATTATCACAGGCTCTTTATTGTCCGGCCATGATAGCAGATGTAGGTGTAGCTAGTATGAGGGTAATGACATGAGGAGCA